CGAAGACTTGACAGAGCAGCCATTAAGTGTTAGACAGTATTCTGGGTTATTACGTGTGGAAGTTTTTTGTCCAATAATTAGAATCTCTGTCTTTTCAGAATTTAGTAGTAGGAAATTACAAGTCATCCAATTTTTTATATCAGCTATGCATTCCGTTAATTTTGTGAATTGGTAAGTTTCGTTGGGTTTTGAAGAAATATACAGCTGAGTATCATCGGCATAACAGTGAAAGCTAACTCCATGTTTCCTAATGATATCTCCTAATGGTAGCATGTACAGAGTGAACAGCAGCGGTCCTAGTACTGAGCCTTGTGGTACGCCATACTGAACTTGTGATCGATAAGACATCTCTTCATTTACTGCTACAAACTGATAACGGTCAGTTAAGTATGATTTAAACCATGCTAATGCAATTCCACTAATGCCAACATAGTTTTCTAGTCTATTTAAAAGAATATTGTGGTCAATGGTGTCAAATGCAGCACTAAGATCGAGTAACACTAATAGAGAGATACAACCACGATCGGATGATAAGAGCAAATCATTTGTGACTCTAATGAGAGCGGTCTCAGTGCTATGGTACGGTCTAAATCCGGACTGAAAATCCTCGCAGATATCATTTCTTTCTAGAAAGGAACATAGTTGTGAAGATACTGCTTTTTCTAATATCTTTGACAGAAAAGGCAGATTCGAGATCGGCCTGTAATTGACTAATTCTGTAGGATCAAGTTGTGGTTTTTTAACAAGCGGTTTTATCATAGCCAGTTTAAAGGTTTTTGGTACGTATCCTAGAGACAAAGATGAATTAATGATATTAAGAAGAGGATATATGACCTCTGGAAACATCTCTTTCAGTAGCTTAGTCGGTATAGGATCTAACATACAAGTTGTCGATTTAGATGAATTAACGAGTTTGCAGAATTCTTCCTCTCCTATAGCAACAAATAAATCAAATTTTTTCCTCAGGGAGACTACAATGCACTTCCTGATGCGATACTGTGGTAGACCGTTGCATAGTTATAATTTTGTCCCTGATATTATCAATCTTATAAGTGAAGAAGTTCATAAAGTCATCACTGCCGTGTTGCTTTGACACTTCTGAGCTTGAAGCTTTCTTTTTCGTTAGTTTAGCCACTGTTTCAAATAAATACCTAGGATTATGTTTATTTTCTTCTAATAGGTTTGAAAAATAAGCAGATCTAGCAGCTTTTAAAGCCTCTCTGTAAGCAATTGAGCTCTCTTTCCACGAAATCCGAAATACCTCTAGTTTAGTTTTCTTCCAGTTGCGCTCCATTTTTCTGGCTGCTCTCTTTAGGGCCTGAGTGTGCTCGCTGTACCACGGCGTTGGACTATTTTCTTTAATCTTCTTTAAGCGCAACGGAGCAACTGCGTCTAAAGTGCTGGAAAAGAGAGAGTTAAACGTTTCTGTTGCAATATCGAGTTCTTCTAAGCTATCTGGGATGCTGAGATGATGAAACTGATTTGGAAGATTATTGATAAAGCAATCTTTAGTGGCAGAAGTTATAGGTCTAACGTATTTATAACACGGAGTCGGCTTTGCAGCCTTGGATAAATGTAATTTACATGAGACTAGATAATGATCTGAGATGTCATCGCTCTGCTGCAGAATTTCAACAGCATCAACATCTATTCCATGTGATAATATTAGATCTAGAGTATGATTACGACAATGAGTAGGTCCTGACACGTGTTGTCTAACTCCAATTGAGTTTACAATGTCTTTAAATGCCAATCCCAAAGCATCTTTTTCATTATCTACATGTATATTAAAATCACCAACAATTAGTACTTTATCTGCAGCCAATACTAAATCTGATAGAAAGTCCGCAAATTCTTTGATAAAATCTTTATGGTGCCCTGGTGGCCTGTACACAGTAGCTAGCAGAATTCTCAAATGTGATTTATCGTTTACACTATATATTTTTACATTAAGCACCAATACTTCAAAAGAAGTATATTTAAAGCTACATTTCTTAGTGGTTTTGAAAATATTACTATAAATTACAGCAACACCTCCCCCTTTGCCTTTCAGACGAGGTTCATTTTTATAACTGTAATCTTGTGGGGTTGACTCATTTAAAATAATGTAATCGTTTGGTTTTAGCCAGGTTTCTGTCAAACACAGCACATCTAGATTATAATCTGAAATCATATCATTAACTATGAGTGATTTTGGAGTAAGGGATCGAATATTCAGCAACCCAAGCTTTATCATTTGCTCATCTGTATTATATCTGTTTTTTATTTGTTGAACATCAATTAAATTTTTAACCTGACGTTTTTTGGATTTCCAAATTCGGGGAACAGACACAGTCTCTATATGATGATATCTAGGTGAAAGAGGCTCTATGTGATGGGATTTATCTGACCTTGGTGACGTGAGGCCGCTAGCAGACGGTCGGTTTAGCCAGTCTGTCTGCTTCCTGACCTGAGCCCCAGATTGTCATGTTTTAGCTCTAAGACTATGAGCCAAATTACTAGAGAGAAGAGCAGCACCAGCCCAGGAGGGATGGATACCATCTCTTTTCAACAGATCAGGCTTGCCCCAAAAACTTTTCCAATTGTCTATGAATTTTATATTATTCTGCGGACACCACTTCGACAGCCAACCATTCAGTGAGGCCAATCGGCTAACTATCTCATCACTCCTGCGTACAGGAAGGGGGCCAGAGCAAATTACAGTGCCTGACATCGTACTTGCGAGTTCACACACCTCTTTAATATTAATTTTGGTGATCTCCGACTGGCGGAGTCAAACATCATTAGTGCCGACATGAATAATGATCTTAGAGAATTTACGATTAGCATTAGCCAGCACTTTTAAATTTGCTTTGATGTCAGGCGCTCTGGCTCCCGGCAAACATGTGACTATGGTGGCTGGTGTCTCTATTTTCACGTTCCGTGTGATCGAATCACCAATTACCAGGGCACAATCAACAGAATTCTCAGTGGGTGTTTCACTGAGTGGGGCAAATCGATTTGTTATGGGAATCGGAACGGAAGAGTGGTTCTTTGATCCGCGACTAGAGCGGTGATCTCTCACAGTAACCCATCTGCCCTGCTGCACGGGCTCTACTTCAGCCGGAACTGAATCATGTAAAGAGTTCACTATGCTAGGCGCATCCAAAACACTATCTAAAGATCTAGCATTCTTACCATCCTCAATTAAAGTTTGGATGCGTGTCTCTAGTTCTGAAATCTTCTCCGTCAGCCTGACTGTCTCCTTGCATTTATCACATATAAATCCTATACTGCCATCGGAGAAGGCTATACTAAACATATGACATGTGACACAGGTGACAATAACAGGACAAGAAGACATTACTCACCGTGTTTGTTGACTGATTTCTTACTTACCTGGACTTTATGAACTCAAAGGCGCGGGCGCGCGAGAGAAAATAAATATATAAATGAGCGCACGGGTGGCGCGTTAGCAGGCTAACGTTAGCGAGTTACTAGCGTGCTGTGTTAACAATAACGGAAGCTAGAGATGTAAGGTTAATCTGAGATGTTGGGTAAGCTGTATTTAGTAGTATAAACAACTAGATAGTAAATGATGGCTCAAAACATAAAGAAATACGAGGCTCAGGCGGAGCTTACAGCCTTGAAGCAAACAAACACACAGCAGGCAGCGAGGCAGACAGGAGCAATCGATCAGCGATCAGCTAGTAGTGTCACACGTGTGTTCTATTATATTTATCACTTTATATAATTTATGTAGCTATTATTTCAGGTCAGTCTATTTCATTGGTGTCTTTGTTTTATTGTAGTTTGTTTTATTTGCTCTTTCTTAATCACTTTTTAATTGTCTTCAGTAAGATTGAGTTTTTTTTAGGCTAGTATTCGTTTTTTACGTATAAAACAATGGTATAATTTTTTTGGATATCATAAAAACCTTATTTAAAGGAAAAATAACTATATCATGATATATATATTGTTATCGTGAAATAAAATTACTCTCATCGTGATATATGGTATTGGTCATATCCTATCCCAAAGTGTGCCTGAAAAGTTCTAAAAAGTCAACAAATCTGGTTTTGTAGACGCATTAAAAAAAATCTGGGGACCATATTTTTTTTTTTTTTTCTGAATCATATTTATTAAAGTGTCCTTTTTTAAGACAATAGACCCCTGTGATATGTCATATTATGTGGTTTTGTTTTTTAATCAGATTTGAACATATTTAGATTATATGCTATTCAACACTGCAACATACACCATTTTGTATTGGTGTATTAAAATTGCATGATAATAATGCATATAATAATTTAAATAGTGATATAATAATAATTATGAAAATCCTCATGTACATCTGTTATAAAATATTTGAATGTTGTTTTTGAAGCAGTAAAATCATAGCAGGGGTGCTGTTTGTGGCTGACAGTTCTCTCTAACAGCAGTATAAATTATAGTTTATGCTGCTTGCATGGCAGTAAATATGCTTCTGCAATATACTGTATGTAACTGCCCAATTTCCTTTTTTTTTTCAACTAATAGATTCAGTGGTTGCATGTTGTTCTGTCAAACTGATTTTATTCAAGAGAGTTTGAGTATATGGTTTGGTTTTTATTGTCAGTATAAAACAGCTTGTACAACATTTAGCTAAAATGATCCATACCTCTTCATGCCAGTTCCATTTTTACTGTATATCTAGAGTCTGTGAATGTGCTGAATCAGAGCTCATATGCCTATAGCGAATGGCATATTTTTACTACCAAGGTTACATGTGTAGACTTGTTAGTGGCTTTTTCTTATAAACTGGCCACTTTGGATTTTTCACATTTCCGGCACTATTTTGCAGAGTAATTCTGTTCTAAATGTTGTAAAATGTGTTAAAGAGAGCTGAAAGTACTACACACTTTGTGAATGGTGGTCATTAATGCATGAAGATTCTGTGTGGGCTGCTTATAAAAGCTTGTTTTTGCACCTGTCACCTTTCTGAATCTGTTTACCCGACATTATCCATTTCTATCTCTTAGGTGCTATACAAAGAGGATTTTGAGAGGAACAAAGGGAAAGGCTTCTGTGTGGTGGCTGATACACCAGAACTGCAGAGGGTCAAGAAGACGCAAGATCAGATTAGCAATGTAAGAGATTCACAAAACGGTATTTACAGATGCACCTCACTGAAAAACATTATCAGCATTGCCATATTTATCCATTGTGTACTACTCTCATTCATTATATCTAGATTCTCAAATACTCAGAATTGCTTGACTAAAGTTGTTTTGATAAATCTTCACACTCCCTTGGTTTTCCTGCTTTCTTGTCTCTCCCTCCCACTTTTCCTCTCTCACCGTTTTATCCTCCTCATTATGTGTCATGGAATGTTGACAAGCAACTCTTTGATCAGTGGTAGCAGCAACATTGAAAATATTGACCCCTTGTGGTTGAAATGAGTAACAACAACATTAAAGGGTTAGTTCACCCAAAAATGAAAATTATGTCATTAATGACTCACCCTCATGTCCTTCCAAGCCTGTAAGACCTCCGTTCATCTTTGGAACACAGTTTAAGATATTTTAGATTTAGTCCGAGAGCTTTCTGTCCCTCCATTGAAAATGTATACACGGTATACTGTCCTTGTCCAGAAAGGAAATAGAGACATCATCAAAGTAGTCCATGTGACATCAGTGGGTTAGTTAGCATTTTTTGAAGCATCGAAAATACATTTTGGTCCAAAAATAACAAAAACCACGACTTTATTCAGCATTGTATTCTCTTCCGGTTCTGTTGTCAAGCCGCGTTCACGAGTCCGCAGTGACGTAAGACGCTGCTGACGTGTATCCGTGTATTCGGGTTCAAATAAATATGGCTGGACAAAAAAATGCAAGTCTTGCTCTGTGTCGAAATCCTTAGACATGTTTGCGAAGATTGTTTTGTTTACAGCGTGCGTCTCCCTCAGACGTCAGCAGCGTCTTACGTCATCAGCATCACTGAACGCGGCTTGACAACGGAAGAGAATACAATGCTGAATAAAGTCGTAGTTTTTGTTATTTTTGGACCAAAATGTATTTTCGATGCTTCAAAAAATTCTAACTAACCCACTGATGTCACATGGACCTCTTTGATGATGTCTCTATTTCCTTTCTGGACAAGGACAGTATACCGTGTATACATTTTCAATGGAGGGACAGAAAGCTCTCGGGCTAAATCTAAAATATCTTAAACTGTGTTCCGAAGATGAATGGAGGTCTTACGGGCTTGGAACGACATGAGGGTGAGTCATTAATGACATAATTTTCATTTTTGGGTGAACTAACCCTTTAAGAAAGTTTTACACACCACATGAAAGGAAAACTATTGGCTTTTTAATCTGTGTATATATTACCTATTCTATATAGAGAGTATGTATATACTACTGTACTCCTGAATGTTGACACAATTAACTTTGTTTAGCATATAAATGCTCGTAATATGTATTTTGTATTTTGAGCACTTCTTGCGTTGTTTTTGCCTCTTCACGATGACTCGCTTAAGTCCTAATTTGTAAGTCACTTTGGATAAAAGCGTCTGCTAAATGACTAAATGTAAATGTAATACATTTCTTCTTACAATTATTAATTGGTTATAAAAAAGAATGTATTCATTTTGAAAGTCTTTATTGCTACAATCTGTCAGTCGTGGTTTGGCTGAGCAGTGATGTAAACTAAAGGCTGCTGAATATTTTTTAGAAGGGACTTAACCTTTGATTTTAACTGCATTAACTTCCTGTTTCAACAGAAAATGCGTAAATACAAAAACTGCACTTTTTAAACAATTTTGTGGCATCTTTAGATATGCCTGTAGTGTTTATGTGACTTAGTAATGTTTTTTGTTTGTTAACAGATAAAGTATCATGAGGACTTTGAGAAGAAAAGTCAGATGGGTGGAGAGGACTCACCCACTAATGCCTTCGGCAATCAGGGTATGTACATGTACACTGTCGTTTTTGGCTTGCATAGTTGGGGACACTTAATATTCAACAATATTATTGATCTGCCTGCTTTGACACCATTATATGATAACTGAACTAAGCTGGACGATGACATCTCTGTTTTTTCCAGAGCGGCTGTGTAGATAAATTAACTAAATTAATAACTTTTTTACAACAAAAATTAACCATCACTGAACTTACTTAAGCTGGACTGTGACACTATTTTCTTCTAGATCTACTGTACAGCCGAAAAAAACTTATCATTATTTTCCTGTTATCAGTAAAAGATCTATATAAATAAAGGTTACTTGACGTAAAGTACCCATTTTTCATGCTGTAAGATTAGATATGTTTTGCATGTTCTGATGTGTTTTTTTGTTTTTGTTTTTTTTACGGCTTTGTGTCCTGGCTTCCACCCACCAGCTCACTCTCCGAGCTACAACAATGTTCCAGAGCCTGCGCATTCAGCTGCTGCTCCACTGCTCTCTAGTGGTGGGGTAAGGATTATCTCTACTCATTTTTTAAAATTTTCCCATGCTTAGACTTAGTTCTTCCTAACCTTGTGCATCTGTTCCTACAGAAGCGTTACAGGGCCGTATATGACTATGCTGCTGCTGATGAGGATGAGGTATCCTTTGCAGATGGCGACTTTATAGTGGACGTGCAGCAGATAGACGAAGGCTGGATGTTCGGACGCGTGGAACGCACAGGACAGCAGGGGATGCTCCCAGCCAACTACATAGAGACAATCTGAGTCCTATTGTATGTCGTTATTAATTCAACTTGATCTGAGTCAAGACAAAAGAACTCAACCAGACAGCTAGATTGGCAAAGCTGAAATGCTTAGAACAAAACCACTTGAGTACACCTTTTTTTTTTACCTTTTTTTTTTTTATTACTTCCCATTTGGCTTTTTGTTTTTGCTGTTTTTAGGCTCATCCTGCGATGCTGCATATTTTTGATGGTGTTGTGTATTGCTTTGCTGCTGCATATAAATTGGTCTCTGTCTTCGATTTTAAAACTGCAGTGAAGTGGGTCAAACTTTTTTACATCAATTGGGCAACAGCAATTATTGCAATAGGGCTGAAGATTTTTTTTATATTATGTAAATGGCCACATGACTGGACAACATTCATCATTCAAACAATGACTTATGCAATACAAAGTCTTAAACAGTGGACTTCTGACCACAAGCACTGCAGAACTGTTACAGACTCCCTCTGCCTCTGGAGTACTCTATTATGCACTATGGGAAAACAATACAAGTGTTTTTTACAAGTAGGTACAATAGACAGAATTCTGTTGTCTTTCCGGAATGAGATGAACCACAAAACAATGAGGTTTTATAAAATATATATAAAAAAACTGTGTATAGAATATCATTCCATTTTATTTTGTAACAAAAGCATTATAGTCCATTATATTGAATAATAAAGGGATAAAGCTGTGAAAGTGTATTATTTTAAAAACATAATGGAATCTGTTTTATTGGTGCCCAAAATAACAATCATGATGTTTTATAATGATTTAATGATGTTTTAAGTATTAAAATCTAATTATTAGATAGTGGGCCAGAAAAAAAAGGCATATTAAATCTGTGGAGGGTGTAACACTTCTTGTGTTGGTAATAGGGGATAGCACGCCAACATGAGTTGCAGCATAAGAAAGCGGTGAAAACTTGGGAGGAGTTTGGCATTCCACAGTTTGTATTTTATTCACCACTTCACCGGGAAAACTCCTACAAACTGTCTAATAGCATTCTGCTGTCAACCGTGTTACTTAATAAACAAAACAACTTATATAAGCAACAGAAATAAAATATACCATCCGATTCATGCACACATGTGAGCCTCGAGGCACATGCTATTGGAAAACTGAACCTTTCAAAAAGGTGAAGGGCACTCTGGTACACTCTGGTCATATAATGGTAAATGCACTTTTACAAGTTGATTATACTGAAATGTGTGTTGGCAGTGCCTGTACACAACCATCATATAATGATAAAAATCCATCCAGTATTTTTTTTTTTTAATCTCCTTATATGTTTTCCCCTGTCTCAAATCAAGCCGTCTGACCATGAGACGTCACACGGTCGGACGCCCCTCCCACGATTGTTAATTGACAGCAGCGTTTCAACACAGACCCGCCCTGAGCGAGCTGGCATCATAGTCCGCTATTGTTGATACGCTGGAGCAGAATGGCGTCTAAGCGATTGTGGTGTTCTGTTCTTGGGTGTAATAACGAACACAGCAGTCATTTTGATGTTCCTAAATCCGAACCGCTGAAGACGCATTGGCTGAGTTTTGTTTTCGAAGGGAATATTTCCCACGATCAACGTCAATGCTTTCATGTTTGCGTGAATAATTTCTCACCAGACTGCTTTATAAACGAGGGTCAGTATAAAGCTGGTTTTGCTAAGCTGCTGCTCCTGGAAAAATAATCGGTACCACCTATTCATGTTACTGCTGCACCTCCAGAAGAAGTGAGTGTAAAGTTTTATTAACCTTTATATTAATCTTTGCAAATCGCTTGCACTCTTCACGATGAATGCGGCTAAGGTTTACACTCAGGGTAAATTACAGCATGTTTTCTATGTACGACGTTCTCAATATAATTCATAATCCCACGTTTATAATGAACAACGCATTATGGTTATTGTGTTATTACAAACTGTGTATGCAGGTGTTAAAGTTAACGTGGTAACACTACACTTTACTTTTGTAGATGGTTTATAACGGTGTCTGTTACTGATTAAGAAGTAGTCAAAAAATCAAATTAACATGGTTGCACAGATGTGTCCTCAGAGACTCCCGCTGCCATTCTTTCTCCAAAATATACCCTCAACTGTTGTCAAGGGCAAGGCAACACTCCACGTGTGTTGTCAAAACGGGCGGGTTGAGCAAAGCTCATTATCATTTAAAGACACATGCGCTTAAAGGTGCTATATGTATTTTTTAGCGGCCTCTATCGGTGATGTTTCAGATTGCAACCAATTTTTACAAGAGCGCTCGTGCTCTTGCGCGTGCTCGAACACAAGAGCGAGCACTCATGGTACCGGCCGGCCACACTGAGACTTTCAACACACCGGAGAAAGCATCACACAACATGCTGGAAACTCATGTAAACTCCCACTGCAACGTTATAATAGACTACTTTTATCAGCTTGACGTTGAACTAATGCTCCATGCTCGTACCATGATAACGTTACATTGACTGCATTTAGCCGACATGTGGTGTTATCTATAAGGCATTTCACTAACTATTCGTGTATCTTTCACAATCAGCAATGTCAACATAGGTGAAAAAAGTTACAAACGAAAAAAAAGTTACATTTAGCACCTTTAAATGGTGTGCTGAAAACAGAGCTGTTTTTGACCAGGTAAAATGAGTGTTTTCTTACAATACTAATGATAATTTAATTAAAGTATATTACAAACTTTTCATTTAGACCCTAAAGAATCACATTAACTTGTATAAAATGGCATTATATGACCCCTTTAAAACCATTAACTGAAACAACCAAATGCCGTCCTTATGAACCTATATGTTGAGCATTTGCCCTGAAATAGGATATCCTCTTGCCAATTGTCTTCTGAAGTTTGGCCGGTAACCACAATGCCAGCTCTTGGACAGAAAATATGTTTTTTCCTATGCAGTCTTCACATAATCTACAAAGAAAGAATCAAATATTTGGTAAATATTTCCTTATCACATAGCATTGCAACAAACAGCTCATCAGAAAAAAATATTATACAATATTTAAAAGGTATTTTGAATTAGTGTATATAGAATGGCTTTTACCTTGACAGTGAGTACGGTTGAGTCTGAAATACCAGCACATCTGCACAATGACTCTGAGAGGGAGACTTGAGAACTGCAACCTACAGAGGGATAAAAATTAATACAATTTCCTTTAATGCAAAGTATAATGATGTCAAGTACATTGCTTGATAACAAGAGCTTTCAGTGCATCTGCTTTAATTGCGAGTCATTAAGCAAGTGTTAAACCAATTCATGATTTTGGATGGATACCAGCTAATCAAATTCTGCAGAGAGCTCAGAGTTAATGTGTCACAGTTGAGTTAATGCTCACATTTGGTATGTTTCATGTTCTTAGCCCTGCTTGATCTGCATGCATCGCTTTATATGTATACAATATGATTCTACACTGCTCAAGACCCAAGGAGTATGGAAAACAAAACAACCCATAAATCAGACTTATAAATCAGACTTTTAAACCAGATTCAGAGTCTGAATATTCCAGTGATATGTAACTCTTTACGAAATCTACAGTACATCACAAATACAAGCCTTTTGTTGTAGATTGCACTGTACGTACCGAATCCATTAGAAAGACAAATGTCTGGCTTCCTCCAAAAACTACTACATCACCGTCTCTCCCATTATCAGCAGAATGCCATAACCTGAGGGTAGAGATGGGAAAAACTAACTGATTCAAGTATGTATATCACCATCATCATATGACTTGCATCATCATTTTGAGTAATTTTTGCTCAGATAAGTTAAGAAAATAAGAAACAGAACAGTCACAAGGGCTGTGCCAAGTGTGCGACTGCTGACTTGATGTACAGCAATAGTTTTAAAGTTAATGTTTTTGTCCTTTGAAAGACTGTAATAGCTAAAATTCATAGCTAATAGTGAGACTATGGGCCTGTTTACACCTGGTCCCTTCGTTTTCTTAGATCTGATAGCTATCCGATCGTGAAAAGACCAGGTGTAAATGCCCTCTAAAACGCATTCGAAACGGATTTAAATTGATCGCTCAAACCACTTCAGGTGGTGGTCTGAGATGCATTCCGGTCAAAACTGTACGGTAATAACTGCTTTTTCTCAGCAACATTAACTCTTTCCCCACCAGCATTTAAAAAAAGAAGAAAAAAAAAAAGAAAAAAAGTTGCCAGCCACCGGCAGCAAAAAAGAGTTAATAGGTGCTGCAGCTGTAACGAATCAGCAGACTCAAGGGGATCCATTCGCGGCATTTATTAGAATGGTCAAGACAGGCAGGGTCAAACAGAACAGAGAAGGCAGGAAACACCGGAATCAAACTCGGGAAAATAACGCTCAGAAATGATATCCAGGAAAGTAAAGACTTCGCACTGGTGTGGTGCGTGGAAGTGGTTTATATATGTGTGTGTGTGAATGAGATGCAGGTGTGTGTAATCAGCGCAGTGTATGGTGTTTGGTGTAATCAGTCCAGGGAGGTGCATGATGGGAAATGTAGTGCAAGTTAATCCAGGAAGCGCGTGGCTAATCGTGACAGAGCCCCCCCTTTAAGAGCGGCTTCCAGACGCTCAAAAAAAACCCACAAGAGTTCAGGAGGGTGGTGAAGTGGAGGTGGTCTTGGGGGAGGGATGGAGGGCCAGGTCCATGCAGGGGAACGGGACCAGGGCATGCAATGGTCCCGTCGTGGAGCGTGGGTGGACCTGGGTCGTGGAGCGTGGGCAGAGCCGGCTGTGCAGGCGACCAGGGCGGAGCCGGCACCGGCTCAGGAACAGACACCGGCTCAGGAACAGACACCGGGCGGCCATCTTGTCCGGAGACACTGGCTCGGCGGCGGCCATCTTGTCCGGAGACACTGGCGTGAACAGTCTCTGGGTCGGCAGACGTGACGTGAACAGTCTCTGGGTCGGCAGACGTGACGTGAACAGTCTCTGGGTCGGCAGACGGGACGTGAACAGTCTCTGGGTCGGCAGACGGGACGTGAACTGTTCACGTCGTGCCTGCCGCACAAGA